ATGCCCTTGTTAACTCCATTAAAGCTAGTTTGGAGAAGTTTTGCAGCACATGTACCTAAGCTTGATTGAGTAGAGGTGCTAGACTCCAGTATTGAACCTGGACTTTCAATGAAGTTTCATTCATTGTTGAGTTGAAGAGACTCCAATGTAAGCTGAAGTCAGCATCCACAACTTAGCTTCTTTTCCATGACATTTTGGCTCACTTTGGATTATCACCCTTTTCAAAGGGGCTTGGTGGAAACCTATATACTTCAAACGTGCCTCTGCTATATCCCTTTGGATGCATTTTCTGATTCCTTTAGTCAGGGGCTATTTACCATTACAGAAGTAATAAACTAGCGCTGACAATAAACCATGTAAAAGCAATGTGCAACCCAGATTTCTAGTGATGGAGACTTTGCAAACAGTTTTTTTTTTTTTTTTTTTTCCTGCTGGGGAGGGTTTAGTAGGGCCATGAGGTACACAGCTCTTGGCTCTCCAGCTGCAGAACTGAGGAAGACAAGAAGTGAAGAAAATTGGTGAGGCAGTTCTGCCAGTATGGCTCTGCTCTCCTATTTCCATTTTGAAGTTGGCTGCCTGAGTCCAGTCCCCAGGGCTGAAGGCATCTCTTTTTCTGGAGGGGAGGAAGATGAGTGGCACCTGAGCCTGGGCCACACCATGGGACTGGATGCCTTGCTGTGAAGTGAATTTTAATGGCTGCCTGCAGATATACGTGAGGAGGATGCTGGTGGTGATAGAGTCCATTTTTTGGGAGAGACACCCCTGCCAGCTGCTCTACTGGAAGGGTCCTCTTTAATGGGAATTATATGGAAAAGGATATATAATCCATAATGCAATCTCATTAGCTGAGCATCCCTAGATAGCTTGTCTCTTAAGTGCAACAGCTCTGAAAGTGTGTAATGTTATATCTCTCTATATTAATTTTTATAAATATATGTAGCAAGTCACACTCATAGACACAGTCACAGCACAGACACTTTTAGCAAATTTGGATGTTTTACAGGTATTTTAAGTGTGTCCATAGCTGTGCACTGTGACACAGGCTGTACAGGCCTGTTGGCAGGGGGTGGGCAGAAGGCTGTAGTCTGTGGCACGAACGCATGCATCAAAGGCCTTGTGGTGGGGAGCATGAGGCTTCTACACTTGCTACACACTCTACGCTAGTTGCCATTTTTGCATCTTGTTTTCCTCGCTCTCACTTGTTTTGCAGTGCCTTATCTCAGCATTTCACACAGCCTTAGGATGCTGGAAAAGGAGACCCAAGTCCTGATGTGCCTGTTCTCTCAGCCTGGAGCAGGCGTTGCTCTGTCACCCTGTCCTCAGGAACTTCTCAGCTGGGCTGTATTTTAAGTGACTCTGGGAAGGTGAGAAAATGCAGACCTTTTACTAGCAATGCCCACAGTCCCATGACAGCATCAGCATTTGTAGGAGCTGACCTGACTTCATGTCACATTTTCCACCCGCAGATCACTGGTGTACAAAAAAGGGCAAGCAGTTCAGGCAGCACAAATCTGAATAAGAACATGGTGTAGGACTGGGCTTCCCCCAGCAGCTCTACTCTTCTACATCATACTCCCTCGCATTGAGCTTAAAATCTGGCAGATGTACTGCCAACCAGCTGCAACACAGGAAATAAATGGGGTGCGAAGTTTGGAAACCACTGTGGAGAGTTTTTCTAAACCACTAAGTGACACAAAGTTAGAGGCGTTTATCCGGTGCATAAGAGAGAGAAAAATGTACAGCTGAAAACAGGGTCTGTCTGGGGTAGGTGGTCCTACACTGAGAGAGTTCTCACTTCTTTGCAACAATATCTGGGCCTCTGGTGAGGATGAAGAGGGAGGAGGGCTCCAGACACATCTCTGCAGTTCCCTGGTACACAGGAGCTGCCTCATAAGTGGGCACTGGGATGGGCACCAAGGCTGGACCAACCGTGTGCGCTAACATCACGCTACTGCCCCCCAGGGCTGTGAGCGTCAGGAGACCAGAGCACACTGGCACTGCTGCTGCTCGTCTCCCTGCTCCCTTGGCTGGAGGGCTCCTCTCCAGGCTGACAACCAGGTAACTTTCTTCCAGCACGAGCATTGGTTGGGTGAGTCTGAGCGTGAGCGGTGCTGTTCCCCAGCTGGAAGGCTGTGGCTAATGGAAGAGTGATGCACATACTGCATGGTCTTGTGTCAGCCACTGCCGTCAAGGCTGAGCAGAAATTTCAATTTACTTTAATGTAGTTATTGAGGCATTTTCATTCCATAAAAGGATATAACAGAAGACAATCTACAAATATTTGTTTTCTACTTTTAAATGAGTTTGATTCAGCTGTGCTTGGTTTCTCCTTTTTGGGTTTTACTTTTGAGACTTCTTGCTTACAGGCACAAGTATTCAAGGATTGTGAACCTTAAAATTTGCAGTCTAAATTCTGTGTTTCATACATGAATATTTCAACAGAGTAATATACTCTGTTCTTTCTGTAAGGCCCCATTTTTAATCATTAATGCTTGTTCTTTTGAGCAAATAAGCCACATATATATGAGACTTGTATGCATTAAAAAAAAAAAAAAAGGTTCTCTGGGACAAGTTCCAGTATGACAAGATTCTGGTTATGAATATTTATAGATGCATCAAAATTGGTGAATGCTGAATTTGCTGATAAACATTGTGGAAGGCTTTTTTAACCTTTTTTATTTGCAAATTGGGTCAAATTCAGTAACTAATTCTGGTAAAAAAAAAATATTTTTTATTTCTTGGTTAAAGGTTTTTTTTCCAGACTTTTTGATTGAAAGCACGCTTTGCATATTTTATCCAAATTAAACCAAACCAAACCAACCAACCAACCAAAAAAAAAAAAAACAAACCCAAAACAACAGAAAAAGAACAAAACAGCAAACTCCAAACTTTTTTACAGTACTGACATGAAACAAACCAACATATTTGTGGCAAAGTTGTTAACTGAACAAATATTAATTTGAGAGCTTTTTAATGTAAGAGTTATGTTGCCTGTTGGATGCTAGTAGCAGAATGTACTGATCAATGTGGTTGCCCTGCCATTGTTTCCAGACTGCAATAAAGCTTTTCACACAGATGCACCAGTGTTAGAACTGTGAAGGAAGACGTGAGACTGTTGACCGCATGGACATACAAATTGTGTTTAAGAAAACACTGTTGCCTCTTGCACTCGGCTCACGAATATGACAGCAGTTGTTCTTTCTGTGGTACAAGTGTGGCCATGTTCTGTTTTTTCTTCTGTGCACCAGGTGTCAAAAATTTGATATATTTTACATTTAAAATGAAATTTTTAATATTGCATAATTGAAGGCTGTTACTTTTACAGCATTTGATACTAGATGAGGATTTAGGTTTCTCTGTGTTCAGTGAACCCTGGCTGCCTTTTGCTCCTTCTCTCAGTACGTACTAAGAAGCACACTTGTATTTAAACATGGGTGTGAGCAGTGCATGATCTAAATAGCTCAGAAAGAAAGTCCTTGTTCCAACACACATGACATTTCTGAATCAACCACTGTGCAAAGATACATTCTTGTCCAGGGCATGTTGGATTTTGACTTCATAATTAAAACAACATATCCATATTTCCCATGGGATGGAAATGCCATTTTCCGGTCATCTCTAGCTGCAGGTGACTGACTCAGAAATTAAATGATTAAAGAGATACAAATGGAGGCGTAAAGGAGAGAATGACAAAAGGGCAACCAAGCAGACAATTTAGGGGAATGCAGAGGCGAGTGATGGAAAACAAGACAGCTTTATGGGCAGGCTACAGGGAGCCTCAAGACAAAAGTGTGGCCACTGATTTCTGACAGTCACTTCAGAAAACTGCAGTCAGGATATGGCTACCACAGTGTTGTGGAAGCAGGAATACTCTCCAAAGACCTCAGCTTTATTTCCCAGCAGCTTGGGGGCACAGCAGTGCATTGGTTGTGAACCTTCCTGCTGTGACAAAACCAGCATGAGACTGCAGCATCAACTGCAGTCCTTGGGACCTAAGCAGAAGAGGTTGAGAGTATGACAGTGGGAATGCATAAATATCCATTGTTCAGTGCAGAGTAGTGCAAATTTGCCATGCCAAACTGGGGTCATTTACATGTGTTGTCTAACCATAGGAAATTATCAGTGATGTTCTTAGCCAAATCCATGTTTGAGCAACAGCTGAATAGGTTTTCATCAAAATTCTCCACTGAGAACCATATATGTTTTGATTGGAAAGCTTTTGTATAGCATGGAGTTCTGCTCTTTTGTGTGAACCAGAAACAATGTGTTGGGATGACAGCACTAACTCAATCTTACCAATAAAGTGCTGCCTGTTTGAAAAAAATGAGCTAGCAATTTATAAGACATGGCTTGTTAAAAAATATGACTGTAGACTAGCATAAGTTACCACAAGCGTCTTTAGTTCACTGTGTCTATTAAAGCAGGAAACAAACTCGTATGTTTTTGATCTCTTGCAATAGGATGGTTGGCCTTGTTCTGCTAGAGAAGTGAAATTACCCTTCAAGAAACTAGAAGCAAGCAATGGTTAGGAATAATTTCTTTGTCAAATAGTTGTTTATGTCTAGATCCTGAATTTTCTTAAACATGTTGTTACCTTGAGTTTTCAGAAAAAATTGTGATGTGTATGTTTGCTCTTCTGAAACCTTTTTTTCCTCTTCTGGAGCTAAGTCTGTGAAGTGGCAGTAGAAGTCTGTAGCTATCTTTGTACTAGCTAGCTGGGTATGAATAGTGAGCAGCTAGAGATATTCTGGAGTTTTTTTTGGTTTGTCTTTTTTTTTTTTTTTTTTTTTCCTAAACAGAAATGGTTCTTTCATTTTCAAACTCCTTTTTTGCTTTACTTACTTCCTTCACTTGACATGGGGTCTTGTTTAGAACTTCTGTTTTCAAAGGAATCAGAGGTTTTACTATGTGTTCTTTTTGAAGGGATTTGCACAACAGTTGTGACTACATGCCATTTTCTTTGCCTTCACTTCCTGCAGTGCCGATTCCTCCTGCTAAAGATGTCTCAGACACGGGCAGTTCTGGGTGCACTCCTTGTCTTGCTAATCGATCTTGTTGAAGGGCCAGGTACGTGACAAAGATCCAAAGCTACATGCAGCACACATTGATACTCCGTATTTCCAGCTTACCAGTAGACTGAAACTTTGCAGTTCACCAGGGGAAATTTTGCTTTTTTTTTTTAATGTGAAAGCAAAGAGTGATGTCACCTCAGTGACATTCTCGGTAAGAATGTCACCTCAGCAGGCAAAATAATCATGTGCCTTGTAGAGTGGCAGGGGACGATATATATCTAATAGGAATCCAACACAGATCACCTGAAGACCCATCTCCTGTTTAGCTCGGACAACGTCAGGAGAACTATAATTTCTGGTAGAAAAGAGATCTGCATAAGGCCCTTACTAAAAATGCCTTTGTAACTACTGAACCAAGTGATTTTGGGTTTTAACCTTGTTACAGGTGTGTGTTACACTGCTAACCCTAGTTTTACTTGCACTTTAACCAAGGCACCTAATTCAATAATACAATGATTTTTTAAAAACATAGTTTCCTTTCCCTTAAGGGTGAATCTTGCCCTCGTCAGTGTTTCAAAGCCAATATTAAAGTGACAGAAATCTGTTGCCCAAAAACAGATGGAGGAATTGCAGCTCACCAGCACGCATCACATACCTGCACAGTCTCTGCAGCGGAAAGATACCATCTCCACTGCATTTCCAGACTTCACAGAGTGACAGCAGGAAGCTAGACTACTATTTATATGTGCGTCTGCACAGAGCGTTGTGTCCCCAGGGCTGCCACTACAGTAAGGAAGTAGAAATTTTTAAGCATGATGAAATCAAGAGTTTCCTATGCTCTGGTGATGGGTGTAGCATAATTTTTTTTTTTCATCTTTTTTTTTTGTCTTCTTATGTAGCTTACAACATGGTGAGTGTGGAGGCTGGTCATGAAGCTGTGTTGAGTTGCCCTTACCTCTCCAAGGATTCTTTGCTAATGGTGACATGGAAGAAGAAATGCAGCACTTGCTGCTTTTTGGCCTATAGAAGTGATTACAATGAGACAAGCAAGTTAAACTGCAGTGAGAGGGTGAGGTGGAAATACCTATCTGACAGTGTCCCTTCTCTTCATATTGACCCCGTGAACCTTGGCGATGAGGGAATTTACGTCTGTGAAATTGTCAGCAGTGCAGGGAATTTTCTTTTTTTCTCTTCTCTGACTGTGATAGGTAAGACACACCTTGTGACTTTTTTTTTGTGTGTGTGTGTGAGTAGATGAAAATTATTTGATTTGGTGGTAAAAGATAAAATAGACTGTAGGTGCATACTGAAATTGAAAATAAAGAGATAAGATGCTTTAGTCTGGCTATGTGGAGAAGGGATAAAGCATGAGGAGTTATGCGATAGGACTTGGCTGTCCTATGGAGAAATAATCTGGAGGTTTTGTGTTCATTTGAATTCTTCTAACTTATAAGAGGGGAGCTTTTAAAATGCACAAATTCATCAGTCTGCTTTGTTTCTGGGAGTTCTTTGGGCATAACATGGATTTTGAATGTTGTGTGAATGTTCACAGAGTCCAGGAGTATACACTCTTGATTAAGTTAATGCAAACAAAAGATATGAAATAAATATTGCTGCTATGAGCTGAGGAAGAGGATGCTGAATCAAAATTCACAATCCGATCAATGTGTGCTTTGTCTGGTAAGGGCTGAATAGAAAGGAAGCAAAAGCTTCAGGAAATTATTTGGAAATATTTTACTCTTCCAGAAATACTGAAAGCTGTTTATGAGACTGCATCACTGAAATAAAAATGAAATTAGTCTATTTTCAACCTAGGCAGGGACAAAAGATTATTAGGAACCATAATCAATACATCAAATAATCTTTTTTTCAGATGATCAAGTAAACTATCTTAAGGTTTCCATAAATCTAAAACACTGCCCCTCTCTCCCCACCCAAACACAGAAGATTCAATGTTCTGGGTGTATTCATTTTTAGTGATATGCAGAAGGCTTATGGGAAATTAATTTTGGAACTCTGTAATTGCTAATATTAATTTTTGTCACTTGGTATTTTTTTTGTTCTTCCCTGTAGAGTCTTGCCCTTCTCATAATGGCTTAGGGTACTATCCAAACTTTTGACTGTTTCATCAAATGCAAATAATGCTCCCACCAAGTTGTGTGACTTTAGGCAGAACAGTTTTGCCTGATTTCTCCTCAATTTCTCTGCTGTCAAATTATTGATTCTACTTACCTAATCTCCTAAATATTTTAAATAAATCTCCAGTAAGCTGTGTTTTCCTCAGTATGTGCACTGCCGTCATTCTAAATCTTCATTTGATCCACTCCTCTTTGTCATCCCATTTTTCCCTGTTACTGCTGTAGTCACCTTCTGGAAAACGAGGAAGCAGTACTTTCTGATGGAGTACCTAGTTTTGGAGATATTCACTTTTAACTTTTTGATATATTTTTTTTTCCCTAAAGATTTTTGGTGCTAACATTCCAAATTATTTTAAAATATCTTGAATTTGTCATGCAAACTAAAAAGCATCACTTTTCAGTTTCTCAGCTGGTCTCTTTATACTGAACTGGAAATAATGTTTGTGGCCTTTTTTTTAATTCTTCTGTAGTCCCTCCTGCAGTGACTCTGACCTGTGACAAGAACAGGGTGGCTGCCTGCCAAGCATCTGCTGGTAAGCCAGCTGCTGACATCTCCTGGGTCCCTGCAAGTAATCAGAGCACTGAAGAAGAAGTCCATCACCTCAACCGAACAGTGACCAGAGTGAGCTACATTGGCTGGGTCAACAGCACGTTTCCCACCGTCACCTGCCTGGTTACTCACCCAGCTACAAACCAAACTCTGTCCCTAGACCTACCATGTAAATAGCATTGTTCTGTAATTGCTCTTCATCGTATTCTTGGGCTTCTTTGTGCTGTTCTGTGCACCTGTTCCTACTGAATGCCAGGACTCTGCAGATGGTTTAGTGGGGTTATAAGCCAAAGTCCTAGTGCATGTTGAATAATTTTGAGGTAACTGGTTGAAACCAAGTATTTCTTGGCACTGTATGGAGAAGCCTTCAGTGTGTGCTTCTTTCTATCTCTCTTTCTGTTTTACAAGAGTTCCTCTTTCTGTTCTTGGTGGGTTGACCTTGTCTGGCCACCAGGTACCCGCCATGCTTCTCCGTCACTCTCGCTCCTTAACAAGACAGAGGGGAAAAAAATACAGTGAAAAGCTGACAGGTTGAGATAAAGACAGGAAGATTACTCATGAAAAACTATGACAGGCAAAACGCGCAACTTGGGGAAGTTAATTTATTGCCAATCAAACACGAGTAGAATAGTAAGAAATAAGAACAAGTTGAAAAGCATCTTTCCCCCACTCCTCCCTTTTTCCCAGGCTCAGCTTCACTAACAGTTTCTCTGTCTCCTTCCCTTAAGTGGCACAGGGAAATGGGAACAGTTGTCCATTCATAACACTTCATCTCTGCTGCTCCTCCTTCCTCATGCTCTTCCCCTGCTCCAGCGTAGCCCCCCACCCATTTGAGACAATCCTTCATGAACTTTTCCAGTGTGGATCCTTCCCACAGGCAGCAGTTCTTCACAAACTGCTCCAGTGTGGGTCCTTTTCACAGGGTGTAGTTCTTCAGAAAGATTTTCCCACAGGGCTACAGGTCCTGCCAGAAAACCTGCTCCAGCATGGGCTCCTCTCCATGGGGTCACAGGTCAGCCTGTTGCAGCACAGGGGCTCTGCACTGGGTCACAGCTTCCTTCAGGGCACATTCACCTGCTCTGGACTGGATCTTCATGGGATGCAGGGCAACCACCTGCATCATCACAGTCTCCATCAGATGCTGCAGAGGAATCTCTGTCTGGCATCTGGAGCATTTCCACTCCTCCTTCAACGACCTTGGTGTCTGCAGGGCTGTTTCTCTCACATGTTATCTCAGCTACCATTGTGCAGCAGTTTTTACCCTTTCTTAAATATATTATCACAGAGGTGCTAACACCATCACTGATGGGGTCAGCCTTGGTGAGTCTCTCTTGGAGCTGGCTGGCATTAGTCCTATTGGACATTTGGGCATCTTCTGGCATCTTCTTACAGAAGCCACCCCTGGCAGCCCACCGCGCCCCATCCCACCCATGCCCCCAGAACCTTGCCACGCAAACCCAATACACTGCTTTGGTAACGTTTTTAATCACTGATGACACAAATGTTGCTTTCAGCAGCCACGTGATACAGCTCACTAATTTTTTGATGTGAAGCTTTGAATTCCTGAAACTGAATTTTGTCCACCTTCCTGCAGTGGTAATGGTCTGGAGAGAAATCTGTCACGGAATGTCTGTCTGTGACTTTCAAGTGATCTTTCCTGGGTCTAAAGGTAGTAAAGGGTCTCCAAACTGGTGAAACATGGGT